CACACACACACACACACACTTATACAGGTATATACACACGCGCACATAAACGCACCAGCACAAGCACACACATACACACACACATACACACACATACACACACATACACACACACACACACACACACACACACACACACGCACACTCACACACACACATACACTAACTTACTAATTTTTCAACATTCTGGTTTATTTATTACACAAGTTGTACAATGTATAGCTCTTTTTGAGACAGAGATATGCTCAGATATCAAATTTTGTCACTGTGAGTGAAAGCTTGTCTTTTTATTTCAACTTTCGACCGTCGATACACCTCCACACGAGTCTCGAAGAGCACTCGCACCCGTCTATTGGACCGCGTGTTTCATCGATCTATGTAGGCTATATCCATGTGCTAAGTTAAAGCATGGTGTGCAAGTTGCCCACATTAAAGATCCCTCGGTGAGCGTAGGCGTCGGCTGCCACCCGGGCAAAATTCAAAATTTCCTAGCAACTGTAAGTGTTTAATCTGTCCCGCACGCTCATATGACATAATAGTTGCGAGCGCCGTAAAACTCACCTGAACAACAACAACAACAAAATTATAGTGTTGATTAAAATGGGTCAACGTTTTGATTATTTAGGTGTATGGTGTATATCCTTTATTATATTTTATTTATCCCCATTTCTTTGGCTAACATTAAAATTAAAGAAAAACATCGGAAACTTAGTTTGTTGTGACTTTCATATTTGAGCTTTTAAATTCTGTTGGTCATAAACTTTTAGACTGACATGCAAAGACCAAATGAGAAGATTGTTTTTAATTCCAATTTAATGCGAACAAGCTATTGTTACTGTAGTCTACTGATTGATGTCTGTTCTGTTGTTTTTTTGGGGTGTGTTTTTTTCAAACTTTGATTGTTCTTTGCTGCTCATCCAACCTTTTGAGCTCATCTTACAAAACACGAACGCAGTTATCGTCTTTGCGGTAAACTTCGATTCTTTGCCGTCTGCTCGCTGGACACAAGCAGACAGGAGAGGGTGGAGAACATTGACTTGTAACCATAGATTATATACTATCATGGCCGCCGACCTTTTGCTTTTAAAAATGGTGTGAAGCGTGCGCACCATGGGCCTTGCCACAACATCTAAATTATGATGGGCAAAACATCAATTCCCCTACATTCTAGTGTAAGCAAAATTTTTCCCTCACTAGTCTCTATTTTGTTTAAATTGAGCCATACAGTGCTATGTAAAACTATGCGCTCCAATGTGAACCGGAAATACACCAAAATATGCATTCTAGGATATGATAATAATTAATTTCTATGACTGAGAGAGTGAGAGAGAGGTGTGTTGTGTAGGCCTTCTGTGTACTGTGTAGCCTCGGGCCTACTGAAGCCAGATCTACTGCTGTGTGTTTATCATTGGTGCTCAAGATGGCGAACGGTATGCCCAGATCAGGAGCTTTCGAAGTGTTCATTCGGCAACAATGGTGTCCTGTTAGTGTAACTTTAAACGAAGAATCATTGACCCTCACACTTACTGAAAACCCCGATCAAGCAAGTGCAACAAATGGTTCAGTCGATGCAGGACATGGTTTGGCGAATGGAAATGCTGAACTTCCAGAGTCTATCACCGGCCAAAAACGTTATGTGAAGGTAAGTTGGTTGAGTTAAGAAGAGAGCTGTCTGCCTCTTGGGATTTAAGAAGCCTGATGTCTTTCCTGAAAATTTATTCTGTGCTTTTGGACTCTTTCAAACTTTGCCTGCCTTAGGCCTATGTTAGTTCTATTGGAGAACTTACTTAACAACAAGCGACCAATAGTGGCAATAGGCTACTAACTATGAGACAGGGAAGTGGTAGAAAAACGATCTACCTCTCACCCCGGGTGAGACTTGCCAGCGTAGGCTATTCTCACCCGGTGCGAAACAAGACCTGTTTTCCTCATTTTGG